AAAAAATATGACAGTTAAATGGTTAAAAAAAGCAAAATTGTTTGCTTTGCCAAAATTTGGAAGCCTCAGCATTTCGGCTTCTTTGAGGATTGGCGAAATTTTGGCAATCCGCAAAAAATTGGCTACTTTTTGAAACTGAGGGTGGCACTTATTTTACGCTACTCGGTGACAGATTTAGTACTTATACAAACAAAATTGGCTCAAATTGGCTCTAGTGCTACATTTTTCACATAAAAACAGTGGAAAACGCATTTATTTGGGCATTTATAGTTCTGGGCTAAATGCCAAAATTTTAACAGAGATGATAGTAGAGCACTATTTCATCATTGCTTAGAGCTAATACATGTAATACGTTTGAGAGGACTGGGTGTATGCAAAAACAGCATTCACTCATTCAAAACAAAACACTAGCGTGCTCAACACTATATAAATGATTTACCTATGGAGCAACCTGTGATCCCTGCGATAATGTCTGACTCAAATGCCGTTCGTTGTGTTTTGAAATGTCTTTTGTCGTTATCCTTGCGATGAACGAAAGAAGGGAGGCTAAAACAGTGTATTTTAATACCACAGCCAATCTATTTGGTTTTCAGTGGAATTGCGTCACGAAAAAGGTCCCAGTTGCCTGGGTGTTTTCAGTGGAGCCCGTCGTCATAGCATTTTTCAGTTCGCAATCAAGCTATCGCAAACTGTTTGATGACGTGTTTCAAAATATCAATTACCTCGTTTATGTAAAGAACAGCTTTTTGAGGAAACTTTTTATCACTTAGGAATTGGTGAACAGCATGTAAATTATAGTTAATGAATACAGTCGAGAACCTCCGGTTGCGACCGCCTCTCGTAAGCGACCACCTCTCCTCAGCGACCAGTTTTCCAAAATACCAAAAGTTTCCCAGTCACATCACTATATTTGCAACGTCTTGTAAGCGACCACCTCTCGTAAGCGACCGCGACCACTTTTAGAGCTAAAAGTTTGAAATTTTCTTTTGCTTTTAACCTCCCGTAAGCGACCACTTGATGAAAATAGAGCAGAAATTCGGCAGAAATTGGATAATAAGGTGTTGTAACATTATCGCATTCCTGGCTAGTACAAAAGACGGAAATTTCTCATTGGGAAGTACCGGAGTTTTTTCGAAATTGACTTTTTACTTGAATGAACATTTAAAAATTTAAAGAAAAAGGCACATACACTGTGCTCTATCAGTTTTAAAAGAGACGATCTTTGTAAAATTAGAACTGATTTAGTTTATGTTCAGTTCCCCCTAACATTTGAACAACATTAGAGATTCAATTTGTAACTATCGTACGACTTTTTCCGTTCGACTTATTAGGTAGTATAGCAGAGTGATACTCTGAATAAATACTTTGGAAAGCTTCAATATTTTTGTGGCCGCTAAAAGTTATTACATGGGTTAGATGAGCATTGGCACATGGGGTAAGTCTCTGCAATTACCATATGCTAATGAGGCACAATTTTGTCCCAGTATGGTCTAAGCTCTCGTGAGCGGCCACCTCCCGAAAGCGCTTACGTCAGGTTCGACTGTGCTACGTTTTGTAACTTTCAACATTACATAATTTTTCCTGAATTTCTATCTAAAACTGGCGTCTCATCATCATTCCTCATCGCGCCATCGGACGCACAAGGCCTGGAAAAAAAAAAAAAAACGTGCGTCTCACTGTACCAAATTTTAATTCTTTAAAAAAAAATTATCAGAATTAACTATGAGGATGATCATGCTCGCTTGTTATGAACAACATAGCGCAAGATTTTGTTCTTTTAAACCAACAGTAATTCATCAGTTTCTGGGTGAACCACTGAAAGAATAGGAAACAAGGAAGATTCCTTAATTTACATAAAATGATTAAAAACACTGGAAGATTAAGTTTGCCTGAATATATTTGATAAAAGGACTTCACTTAAATCAGTTAAACAAAAGCAAATATATTTGTACCTTTTGTAGAAACAAGGGTGAACGAAATGTGCACTCAAAATGCATCCACTTATGAGGGATCATCGCCGCTAAAATCCTGTTTGAAATTCTGTTGTGTGGAACCTGCGTAGTTCTAACATACTCTTCTGAGCTACGTGACCTACGTAGGTTAAACTTAGAAATCTATCTTAGAATACTTCCGACAAATTCGGAATATTAACAAAACCTGGCCATGGAAAGTGTTCTAGTTATCAAAAGTTCCAGATCTTAATCTGTTAAAGGATAATAACTGATCTGAAGGTCTGATATAGACCTGACAAAGCCGCTTTAATGAAACAACTTCACCCATGCCACGGTCAGTCACGTAAGAACAACGGAACACGCAGAATATCTTCATCTTTAGGCTGTTTGCTACTGACACAAAGAGATAGTCACGTACCGGCACTTTAGAATTTCGACAGTCAGTGCCTTGATTTTCTGAATGCGACATTAACATCAAGGGAAAAAGTACTTTGCGGAAAGAGTCGAACGGCTTTCAACCGTTTATTTTTTGTTGTCGACGGAGCAGTTCGGAGAGAGCTAAAAATTAAAACATTCTCCTCAACTGAATTATTTGCCTTGAGAAGTAAATCAACGTGATTCAATCGATTGTTTTTCTTAGACTTCGACTGAGCCGTCTGGAGAGACTTAGAAAGAGGATAGATTCCGTTCGAAGTACTGGCCTTGAAAAGTAAACCAATTACTTCCTTAAATAAGCCATTTCATTAACGCAAAAGACTTTGCTCAGTTCTTTTTTTTACCTAAGGGATTTGTTTTGGTTTGTGTTTTTTTTTTTACTTTACTTTTCCCCTCCACTTCGACTTTCGGAGGCGTCGAAATATGTCAATTATCTAAGCATTTCAGCTATCCCTATCTTCAAACCATTTTAGGCAAAAATGATACAACAAGAGAACAAAGTTAGCTTTCATAGGTACCTACATTTGTTAGTTTTCCCTCATGATCAGTTTTCCTCAACCGATTCGCTTCATTCGCCTTGGTAATCTGAAAGAAGTAACTTGGAGTTCGTAGGCAGCTGTTCCAGGTTTATAGAACTTCCTTTCTGTCAGAAAAGTGATTTGTGTGTTGATTGACGCGGTGTGATGTTGAATATTTACTTAACTTAAGAATACCTTTGATGGGTTTTAAGGTCCAAGAAATTACTAATTTAGCTTGTGAAACGTTTTGTCTTAGAGAAAAACCGAAAGAATACTTTAGGCATGAAATATTTAGATTTCGTCATCGAGGAAACGCAGTATTCCTCAACGGCTAACATATGACTGTAAGTTTGAGTCACTAAAATTTTAATTAAAATGATAATGCACTTTGCGTATAACTTTGTATTTAAACAGCTGAAGTAGAATGTGTTCAACTGTTGTTCGTAAGAATATGATAACTGACTTGTAAATGAGTATCTGACTTTTTGACAGGTAGTGATACACAGCAGAAGCGTATCACCTAGCTAGGTGATATGCTTCTGTTAACAGAGATATTTCATTTTTCATATTTTCTGTACCCCATGCCAAAATAATGACTGCAATTGCTAGACCTCGGAAACACTATACAGCTTGCCCCAATGCAAGTCACAATAAATCATATGATCTCTGCTGAAACGAGGACTTTCAT